TTAGAGTTGGACTCACCCAGTCAACTGATGTGTATTCCACCATATTTCGAGATTTGAGTTTTCCAAGCATTGGAAAGCTTTGGAGAATCAAAAGTTTAATCACTCATGACATGTTCAATCACAAAATCACATCTAACTGTGGGCATTTGCCAACAGGAGGCAGTTCACTAAAAGAAGCTCAGAGGACTTGGCAGGGTAGATGGGGAAAAGTTGTCTGGGAGATTCCAGGACTAGAGGACATAATCTCAGAGTCAAGGAAACTGCCATCCTTACCTGTTCTGATCGACTTGTGACTCCAGACTCACACCAATGTGATTGACTCCTAACTGGGATTAGGGCTGGGCAATAAATGCTGGTTTAGCCAGTGACACCCAAATCCTTTGAGTGAATGAAAAAAAAGCACTCTTTTCTCTTCGCTCCTGTTTCTCTGTTTGTTATTGCCTGATGATGCTGTTCAGGCAGTTCCTCTGCAACATAAACATTCAAACATGAGACACTCTCCATCCATTTTTGCCTGCCTTCTGGCATTATTTCCTGCAGGCTGAAAGAGAGGATGGGTCTCAACTCAATTGTCAATTATACCATATTACCAGTTTACATTATTCTGACCAGTAATGAAGATCCCTGGCAACATGTTCACACTCCCGATTTCATGCCAACAATGAAAAGGGTTAAGTTGCAATTTGTTGCCATCATGCATGCAAGTCTCATGCTGCTGCGGGGTCTAACACTTCTCTCATTGCTGCCTGTTCCCTCCTTATCTTAAGAGAGATTGCTCGTTACCCTTATTTTGGCCATACTGTTCTCATGGCACCTTCTTACTCACCCCGGCCATGCAATGGAAACAGTTGCCCCTTTTGTTTTACTTTGGACACTTTGTTTTACTTTAGCCTGCACTGCAATCTTTGTTCAGGCTTCCTTGGTCAGTCATGAGGGTCTCCTACAGCTGTCAGTGGGGAAGAGCACCTCCAACATTCCCAGGCAGCCTGGGGGAGAACGTGGAGGGAAACATCATTCAACACTGGGGCCAGCCTTTCTCTGCTTTGATCTGTGTGCCAGACGAATGCCCGCATGCTTCATTCTGGAACTCTGTCTAATGACCTTTGGGGCTTCAGTGATAGTTTAAAAGCCTGAGATTGGAGGTTTGCTCAGGAGTTTGATCCTGCTCTGCAGCACTGAAGGTGCTGCCATGTCGTCACTGCAGCTATGTCCAGGTGCTACTTAAAAATGGTACATGGAAATGCCAACCATATCAGCTGAGGCTGGTTCAGAAATTGTCTTCCAACCCAGAGCTGCAGAATTGACTGTGCTAAATGCCTCTACTGCATTTATTAACTAGCTGCTGTGTAATCACAATTGGCCAATTGTTTCATAGTGCTGACCACTTACAGGTACTTAGGACCGTCCTGGACATGAATAAATGCACCAGGTAATAGATATGCAGGGCATGTCATCACCAAGAGTCAGCCATGTGTACAGGAGATGGTGGCGATGTCACTGGCTAGTGGTCTAGAGATCCAGACTAGTGATCTGGGACACAGCTTCAAAGACAACCATCATCTAAAAAAAGTTTGGAATTGAAAGCAGGTCATCGATGATGGCGACCAAGGAACTACCATCAATTTGTTTTTAAAACCCATCTGGTTAATTAATTTCCTTTATGGGAGCAAAATCAGCCATCCTTACATAGACTGGCCTACATGTGACTCAAGATTCACAACAATATGATCAATTCTTAACAATGCCAAATTGCCCTATCAAGCCATTCATTTCAAACACACTTAGGAATCAAATGCTGACACCGTAAATGACAAATTGACACCCACATTCCATGAATGAATAAAATAAATATGTAAATAAAATAAATAGTGGCCTCACCTTTGGCAGGTTGATTCATTGCAATATGTTTTCAATATACAAGCAGAAAGTTAAATCATTGTTGGGCCTGTAAATTGGTCAGGAACCATTATTCATTTTCTAGTGAAATGAAAATCAAGCAGGTTGCAAAATGCACTACCAATTGGTTATTGGTCATGTTGCACTGTTGCCAAAAATAAATTTTATGTTTTATTTCTGAAAGGCTATAAATTAGATTCTCAATGTCTGTTCCTGACACTTCAAATTACACACCTTCCATGGAGGGGTGCATGTTTCTGAGCAATGATCTTGACTTTTCTCCACCCTACTCTGTGACCCCTTTACAAGATGGAAATTTGGCAACTCAGCACAATCAGGGATTCAGTCTGTCTCAGTATCTCACCAAGTGATGCATTTAACCATTAAATTATTGGGGCAACTGTCCAATTCCTTTTTACTTTTTAGATATGGATCATCAAACTTTAAGGACATCACTTGAAAACTGGCAAAGATTTTAAGCTACTTATTTACATAACTGTTAGTCAAGATCTCATTGAAACAAGTGTGTTAATGAACAACAAGAAATAATTCTCTGCCTCAGGAAACACAGTTACAGTTTAATTTATGTCTTGATAATATAATCCATAATTCAATTGTCAGTTTTGGCTCCATGGTAGCTCTCAAATCACAAGTGCAAACTGCACTCCATGTTGAGTACAGCATCTTGGCTGGTACTTCTGTGCTGCTCTGTCAGGGGTGCTGTTTTTCTGATGGGCTATTATATGAAAGTTTCCTTCCCAGGTGGAGATGATTGACTCAGTTGGGTTGATACAACAATCAGGCAGCTGTCATGGTTACTATATTTTCCAGCCCAGGGTTTCAAATCATCAGATTTATTAAATTCAGGATTCTGGAATTGCAGTACTATGTTGCTAGTTGAGTGACATAAATACAGCACTAACAAAAACAAAGTTGCTGGAAAATCTCAGCAGGTCTGGCAGCATCTGTGGAGGAGAAGACAGAGTTAACGTTTTGGGTCCGGTGACCCTTCCTCAGAACTGA